GCGTCGCGCTACACCCCTTTGTCTCCCCAGCTGTACGCGTCTGCTCAGGTAGCTACCCAGTGTGAGTGTCGCCGACTGTCGCACGACACTCTCCTGTGGCACCACCGCCTTGGTCACCCCTCCCTGCCTCGCCTTCGTAGCATGCACTCTCGCTACCTGGTCTCTGGCCTTCCCGAGTCTCTGCCTGCCCTCCCTCCCTCGCCTGCGCCGCCCTGCATTCCTTGCGTCCAGGGGCGGCAGTGCGCCGCTCCTCACTCCTCCTCGTTCCCTCCCACAGAGGCTCCACTGCAGACTCTCCACCTGGACGTGTGGGGCCCAGCCCGCGTCCGTGGACAGGGCCACGAGCGGTACTTCCTGCTGGTCGTCGACGACTACACGCGTTACACCACGGTCTTCCCCTTGCGCAGCAAGGGGGAGGTCCCTGATGTTTTGATCCCCTGGATCCGCGCTGTTCGTCTCCAGCTCCGCGAGCGGTTCCGGTCGGACTTTCCTGTCCTGCGTCTGCACTCTGACAGAGGTGGTGAGTTCTCCTCAGACCTCTTGGCAGCCTTCTGTGCGGAGCACGGCATCCGCCAGACGTTCACGCTTCCGGCCTCTCCGCAGCAGAATAGGGTTGCTGAGCGCCGCATTGGCTTAGTCATGGAGGTCGCTCGTACCTCCATGATCCATGCGGCTGCCCCCCATTTTCTGTGGCCGTTTGCGGTCCGGTACGCCGCGCATCAGCTCAACCTCTGGCCCCGTGTCTCCTTGCCGGAGACCTCGCCCACACTGCTGTGGACGGGGAAGGTTGGCGATGCGTCGCGTTTCCGGGTCTGGGGTGCTCGTGCCTTTGTCCGCGATACCACCGCGGACAAGCTCTCCGCTCGCGCCATTCCCTGCGTCTTCCTTGGCTTTGTCCCTGACGCGCCTGGCTGGCAGTTTTACGACCCCGCCTCGCGCCGTGTCTTTCCGTCTCAGGACGTCACCTTTGACAAGTCCGTCCCCTTTTACCGTCTCTCTCCCTACCGCACTGCCCCTCGCCCCCCCCCCCGCCGCTCTTTCTCGCCCCAGGTCCTCCCCAGGTAGCCCCCCTCCCCGCGCCAGGTCCTGCTCCTTCAGGTGTTTCTCAGGTAGACCCTCCCGTGCCTACGCCTGTTGAGGTCACTAGTGACTCAGGTCCTGCTGGGGGTGGTGCTGTCTTTGGGGGTGCTGGGCCTGGGGGTGCGGAGCTTGGGGGTGCTGAGCGTGGGGGTGCGGAGCTTGGGGGTGCTGAGCCTGGGGGTGCGGAGCCTGCGCGTGAGGACCCAGGAGGTGCTGAGCCGGGGGGTGCGGAGTCTGGGGGTGCTGAGCCCGAGCGTGAGGAGCCTGGGGGTACTGAGTCTGGGGGTGCGACGCCTGAGGGTTCTGCGACTGCTGTTCCGCGGTCTCCTTGGAGTAGCCGTCTTCGTCCGCGTGTGCCTCTCACCTCACAGCAGCTGCACGACTGGTACGGTCGCCGTCAGGGTCGCGCTTCTGAAGCTCGAGGCTCTGCCGCTGGAGGTACTTCTGCTGACGTCACTGGAGCTGGGAGTGGTGCTGGTCCCGGAGGTGCTCGTACTGGAGGTGCTGGAGCTGCTGGGGCTGGAGGTGGTGCTGAGCCTGAGGGTGCTACTGCTGGAGACCCTGGGTCTGGGGGTGCTGCTGCTGGAGACACGGAGGCTGGAGACCCTGGGACTGGGGGTGCCGGTTCTGGGGGTGCTGCTGGTGGTGGAGCTGGTCCTGGAGGAGCTGGCGCTGAGGGTTCTGGAGCTGCTCGAGGTGCTGGAGCTGCTGGGGGTACTGGAGCTACTGGTGCTGGTTTCACTGCACAGCCGCGCCTGTTCTTCGCTCCGCCGTCTCCGTCGTCTCAGCCACCGCCTGACTCTGTGCTTCGCCAGGTTCTTAGTCTCCCTTCGTCTACTGGTCTTCCGTTACAGCCTGGCTCACCGCTGCCTGCTCCTTCTCCTTACACTGAGCAGACAGGGGGTCTTACTGAGCGTCGTGAACCTGCGTCGCGTCCTGTCTCGCCTGTCCGTTCTGGTAGTTTCGGTCGTCGTGTTCCTCGTCAGCGTCAGCCGGCTGTCCCCGACACCCACCTCGTAGTCCGTCGTCCTTCCTCTCCTCCGCAGCGTGTTCCTCTGCCGTCTCCTCCTGCGTCTTCTCTGCCTGTCATTGCGGACCCTGAGTCTGACCGGTTTCGTGCTGAGCACCCTACTGTCACGCGTCTGCTAGCCACAGTTGTCACTGACCCGTCGTTTGAGTCTGCTGCTGCGTCTGCCTTAGTCGCTGAGCTTGTTGACTTTGCTGCTGCCTGTCGTCTAGACTACGCTGCTAGTCTTGTAGCTGAGTCTGAGTCTGTCTGTCCTCCGTCCGTCGGGGGTGAGTGTGCTCTTGGCACGGACGTCCTTGAGGACAGGCAGGAGGACCTTGAGTGTCTTGCAGCCGCTGCGCCTCATCTTGTGGCCATGCTGCTTGCCCCTGAGGGAGACCCGGATGCATCAGACATCCCGACCCCGCGCTCTTACGCTGAGGCGATCGCGGGTGAGTACTCCTCTCAGTGGCAGACAGCCATGGACGCAGAGATGGCATCCTGGAAGTCCACAGGCACGTACGTCGACGAGGTTCCCCCTCCTGGGGCGAACATCGTCAGTGGCATGTGGATTTTCAGGGTGAAGCGGCCGCCAGGTTCTCCGCCTGTCTTTAAGGCTCGTTACGTTGCTCGAGGCTTCAGTCAGCGAGAGGGAGTTGACTTCTTCCAGACCTTCTCCCCCACCCCGAAGATGACCACTCTTCGGGTACTGCTGCACGTTGCCGCTCAGCGTGACTACGAGCTTCACTCTCTTGACTTCAGCACAGCTTTCTTACAGGGCAGCCTGCACGAGGAGATCTGGCTGCGCCGCCCACCTGGCTTCACTGGGTCGTTCCCTCCTGGTACCCAGTGGAGTCTCCGGCGGCCAGTCTACGGTCTCCGCCAGGCGCCACGTGAGTGGCACGTCACACTGAGGACGACTCTTGCGGCTCTTGGGTTTGCCCCGTCGACTGCTGACCCGTCGCTGTTTCTGCGCACCGACACTTCGCTGCCGTCGTTCTACATCCTCGTGTACGTCGACGACTTGGTCTTTGCCACTGCTGACACTGAGGCTCTCGCCCTGGTGAAGTCGGAGCTGCAGAAGAGACACACGTGCACAGACCTGGGTGAACTGCGCAGCTACCTTGGCTTGCAAATCACCCGGGACAGAGCACGCCGCACCATCACACTGACTCAGTCACACATGGTGCAGCAGGTCCTTCAGCGCTTCGGCTTCACCTGGTCCTCAGCACAGGCCACTCCTCTGGCTACAGGTCACTCGCTCTCAGCTCCACCTTCGGACGAGTCCGTAGAGCCGAGTGGTCCGTACCCAGGGCTAGTGGGCTGCCTCATGTACCTGATGACCTGCACTCGTCCTGACCTTGCGTACCCTCTTGGCCTTCTGGCTCGCTACGTGGCTCCTGGTCGGCACCGAAAGGTGCACATGGATGCTGCTAAGAGGGTACTACGCTACTTGTGCAGTACATCGGGCATGAGGCTCGTGCTTCGAGGACGGGGTGACGTTGTCCTCACTGGTCACTCGGACGCCTCTTGGGTTGACGACCAGGCTACGCAGCGGTCGTCACAGGGTTACACCTTCAGCCTTGGTTCTGGTTCAGTTTCCTGGCGTTCTACATGCTCGTCTTCAGTTCTCGGGTCCAGTTGTGAGGCTGAGATCTACGCCACGGCTATGGCGGCACAGGAGCTACGCTGGCTCACCTACCTGCTGACCGACTTGGGAGAGAGGCCTCGTTCTCCTCCAGTGCTGTACGTCGACAACAAGGCCACCATTGCCTTGTGTCAGGAGCACAGACTGGAGCACAGAATGAAGCACATCGCTCTGCGTTACTTCCTTGCTCGAGAGCTGCAGCAGCGTGGTCAGCTTCGTCTTGCTTACGTGGCCACTCGGGCCAACACTGCTGATATATTCACCAAGGCGCTTCCGCCTGGTGATCATCAGCGTTTCTGTACTTTGTTAGGCCTTGTGCCCACGCTTCCTCACTTGCTGTAGGCTTTGTTTGTACTGTGATCTATATGTATACCTGCATGCTTGCTCTGGTAGGTAGAGATCACTGTGCTGTTGTTGTTACATATATATCTCTGCATGTGAACTGGCCTTGTGGCCTTTTTGCTTGTGCTCAGACTGCGTGGTGACGTTGTGATCCACCCTGAGCGTGCTTTGCACTTCCTGACTGGTCTTGTGACCCTCTGTTCTCCCCCACCTTGCCTATGGGGGTGTGTCAAACATATATTTATATGTTATAGTTTGGGTAGGCTTAGTGGGGTACTCACTGTGGGGTACAACCCCTTAGGTTTCACTTTTGTCCCAAACTTCTCGATAGTTGAATCACACCTTGCCTAAGAATCTAACATATGGTATATTTTTTATCAAGCAGAAAAGATGTGAAACAAAATCAGGGGTCTGACTTCACTTCAAGATTGTTGATCAATGCCGCAAAACCGAGTACGAGGATATCGTGGGCCACTTGGGCCACTTCACCTCTTGGACCACTTGCAGTGGAAGATTCGTCAGCGTGGCGACAGCGAGATTGTGGGAGGGGGGAAATCTCGGCAGATTCTAAGTGAAAGTACATGCGAAATTTCTTCTAGGGAGCGATTCTCGCGATATCCTCCCGTAAGGAATCGGACTCGATAACAGCTATAATAGGAATCTATAAGAAAAGGGGGGTGTTATAGAAAATCACCCGAAAAGGGGGGGTATAGTACAAACGAGGTCGATTATAACACCCACCCCGCACAAGCTACCCGGGGGTGTACAATTACGGGGGGGGTGTTTTATCCGGGAGAATACGGTAATTACTGAACTGCTTAAGTACCTTTATTTGATCCAACACCCATTGATACCCTAAGGGCGACTACCGTATTGATGGATGGAGATATGGTTTACAGACATTGTGTGCACCGGACAAAACCGTCACGGGCCCCGAGTGGGGTCCCAGCCCGTAACGTAATCCTCATTAAGTGAGTCGAGCTTCGCCATGTCAATGTCAGAAATGTTGAAGTCGTACACCTGCACATGGCACATGGCACATGACACATGGCATGTGGCAAATGGCACAAGACACGGGATACAAGACACATGTCGCATATTGTATAGCCCATGGAACATGGCACATGGTACATGGTGCATGGCATATGGCACATGACACATCATACATGGCACATGGCACATTGCACGTTGCACATACCAGCACAGCAGCCAATGGAAAGAACGTATGGATAAACAACGCACGCAAGAACAATGATGGAAGGCAGAGATGACACAAAGCAGGTGGAATATGATGTGTGCAGTCGCAACAGACGGGCACATGTTGCAACAGACGGGCACTTGGTATACAAGAGTGATGTGAGTGGCACCTGTGTGTTGGCAGCACCTGGGTGTTGGCGGCGATGTGGGCGGGGTTGACGGAGCGGGGCAGCACGGTGAAGCCCTTCTGCAGGCACCACCGCACCATGAGCTGCGCCGTGCTCTTCACGTATCGCGCTGCCATCTGCCCATGCCATGCCACAGGTGGGGTGGGCATGCCAAGGGGTGAGCAGGATAGCAGCATGCAAGGGGAAGCATGCAGGGGGAAGCATGCAAGGGGAGGCATGCAAGGGGAGGCATGCAAGGGGAGGCATGCAAGGGGAGGCATGCAAGGGGAGGCATGCAAGGGGAAGCATGCAAGGGGAAGCATGCAAGGGGAAGCATGCAGGGGCCGGACGGTGTCGGGCCAGCCCGGTCCTGCGAGCGTGGGTATGACAACAGACAACAGCCGCGTGGGTATGACAACAGACAACAGCCGCGTGGGTATGACAACAGACAACAGCCGCGTGGGTATGACAACAGACAACAGCCGCGTGGGTATGACAACAGACAACAGCCGCGTGGGTATGACAACAGACAACAGCCGCGTGGGTATGACAACAGACAACAGCCGCGTGGGTATGACAACAGACAACAGCCGCGTGGGTATGACAACAGACAACAGCCGCGTGGGTATGACAACAGACAACAGCCGCGTGGGTATGACAACAGACAACAGCCGCGTGGGTATGACAACAGACAACAGCCGCGTGGGTATGACAACAGACAACAGCCGCGTGGGTATGACAACAGACAACAGCCGCGTGGGTATGACAACAGACAACAGCCGCGTGGGTATGACAACAGACAACAGCCGCGTGGGTATGACAACAGACAACAGCCGCGTGGGTATGACAACAGACAACAGCCGCGTGGGTATGACAACAGTCAACAGCCGCGTGGGCATGATAAGGCAACGATGCTTTTCTTTTTTTTTTGCCATTTTCTTTTCATTTACTAAGGCAACGAGCGAGCATGAAAATGCTTACGTAAAATCACCACTGTTCCTGCTTCTCTGTGCCTAACACACTTTGTGCATGGCCTCCCCAACATGGACTCCCACCCATACAAGCCAACTGGCTTCCCCTTGCTCGGGCCACACCTGCCTGAAGCTCAACACATGCACCGCACCCACATGCACCGCACCCACATGCACCGCACCCACATGCACCGCACCCACATGCACCGCACCCACATGCACCGCACCCACATGCACCGCACCCACATGCACCGCACCCACATGCACCGCACCCACATGCACCGCACCCACATGCACCGCACCCACATGCACCGCACCCACATGCACCGCACCCACATGCACCGCACCCACATGCACCGCACCCACATGCACCGCACCCACATGCACCGCACCCACATGCACCGCACCCACATGCACCGCACCCACATGCACCGCACCCACATGCACCGCACCCACATGCACCGCACCCACATGCACCGCACCCACATGCACCGCACCCACATGCACCGCACCCACATGCACCGCACCCACATGCACCGCACCCGCATGCACCGCACCCGCATGCACCGCACCCACATGCACCGCACCCACATGCACCGCACCCGCATGCACCGCACCCGCATGCACCGCACCCGCATGCACCGCACCCGCATGCACCGCACCCGCATGCACCGCACCCGCATGCACCGCACCCGCATGCACCGCACCCACATGCACCGCACCCACATGCACCGCACCCACATGCACCGCACCCACATGCACCGCACCCACATGCACCGCACCCACATGCACCGCACCCACATGCACCGCACCCACATGCACCACACCCACATGCACCGCACCCACATGCACCGCACCCACATGCACCGCACCCACATGCACCGCACCCACATGCACCGCACCCACATGCACCGCACCCACTTGCACCGCACCCACATGCACCGCACCCACATGCACCGCACCCACATGCACCGCACCCACATGCACCGCACCCACATGCACCGCACCCACATGCACCGCACCCACATGCACCGCACCCACATGCACCGCACCCACATGCACCGCACCCACATGCACCGCACCCACATGCACCGCACCCACATGCACCGCACCCACATGCACCGCACCCACATGCACCGCACCCACATGCACCGCACCCACTTGCACCGCACCCACATGCACCGCATCCACATGCACCGCACCCACATGCACCGCACCCACCCCAACGGCACACACACCTCAACGAGCGTGGGGTCGCGCAGGCGAGTGCCCTTGGTGAGCGGCGAGTAGGCCTGCAACGCCATGCCGTGCTGCAGGCAGAAGTCCACGAGGGGCCGCCGCGTGCCAAAGGGGTGCAGCTCGAGCTGGTTGACGGCGGGGCGCACCGTGCTCTGCTCAAACAGCTCCTCCAGCTGGTGCTGCCCGAAGTTGCTCACCCCGATGGCGCGCACTCGCCCCCCCCGCAGCAGATCCTCCATGGCCCGCCACGAGTCCAGGCGCGCGTCCACGCGCATGGGCGAGTGCAGCAGGTACAGGTCCACTGGGGGGGGGGTAAGGGAGAAGGGGAGGGGGAGGGGACAGGCGAACATAGTGCGGGTTCAGGGCGGTGAGGGTCAAGTGGAAGGCAGAGGCGATGGACGGAGTAGGCATGGGAAGGGAGGCCTGAAACATGTGAATCTGTCCCACAAACCATAGTCCCTCCCACCCACCATAGCCCCACCCACCATAGCCCCACCCACCATAGTCCCACCCACCATAGCCCCACCCACCATAGTCCCACCCACCGTAGTCCCACCCACCATAGTCCCACCCACCATAGCCCCACCCACCATAGTCCCACCCACCATAGTCCCACCCACCATAGCCCCACCCACCATAGCCCCACCCACCATAGCCCCACCCACCATAGCCCCACCCACCGAAGTCGAGCCCCAGGTCGGTGAGCGAGCGGTGGAAGGCCTGCAGCGTGGCATCGTAGCCGTTGTCGGCGTTCCACAGCTTGGTCGTCACAAACACACTCTCGCGCGCCAGCCCACTCGCCCTCACCGCCCTGCCTGGTGGGGTGCGAGGCGATGCGATGGGGTGAGATGGCATGGCATGGCAAGGGATGGGATGGGATGGGATGGGATGGGATGGGATGGGATGGGATGGGATGGGATGGGATGGGATGGGATGGGATGGGATGGGATGGAATGGGATGGCATGCGATGGGATGGGATGGGATGGGATGGGATGGCATGCGATGGGATGGGATGGGATGGGATGGGATGGAATGGGATGGCATGCGATGGGATGGGATGGGATGGGATGGGATGGGATGGGATGGGATGGAATGGGATGGGATGGCATGCGATGGGATGGGATGGCATGGCATGGGATGGGATGGAATGGGATGGCATGCGATGGGATGGGATGGGATGGGATGGGATGGGATGGGATGGGATGGGATGGGATGGGATGGGATGGGATGGGATGGGATGGGATGGGATGGAATGGGATGGCATGCGATGGGATGGGATGGGATGGGATGGGATGGAATGGGATGGAATGGAATGGGATGGGATGCGATGGGATGGAATGGGATGATGGCGCGCCCACGTGAGGCTGCAGGCAGCGCATGGAATGGCGAGTGCATGGTAAAGCATGGAATGGCGAGTGCATGGTAGAGCATCGCAGGTCCCCCGGCAGAGACACATAAGCAAGGCTGGCCGCGGGAGGGGGGGAAGGGCGGAGGGGGAAGGGACAGCGGCAAAAGGGGGGAGTGGGGGGGGCGAGTCTGACCAACGGCAGCTTCGTTGCGGTGCAGCTGGGCGGTGTCGATGTGGCGGTACCCCTCCCTCAGTGCCGTCAGCACCGCCGCCTCCGCATCGCGCGCTGAGATCTGCGGGGGTGGTGCGCACGAGGTGGGGGTGGTGCGCACGAGGTGGGGGTGGGACACACGGGGCGGGCAGGGCGCTCCAGTATGGCGCGCTCAGTGGCTTCAAATGACACACGAGTCGCACACATGCCTCATGAGTCGCACACGTCCTTTTCAATGCACGCGTCTCACCATGTAGGTGCCGAAGCCCAGGCGCGGCATCTTGACATGGCCGTCGAGCGGCGCGTTGCAGATGTCAACGCAGTCCGTCGCGGGGCACAGCACGCGCTGCCCCACCGCGCGCAGGTTCGTCATCCGCCCGTCGGGCTCCCGCCCCGCCCCGCGCTGCGCTGATAGGTGCTCCTCTCACAAACTGCGGGAAACGTACGCGAGCAGGGAGCGGGAGAGGGGAGCAGGAAGGGCAGTGTGAGTCTGGCCAGGGTGGCGGCGGTAAGCCTTAAGCAGCGTGGCGCGAGGGGTGTGGGGGGATACACAGGCCAGGGATCACAGCGGGGACACGCGGGGCGGGGACACGCGGCGGGGACACGCGCGGCGGGGACACGCGCGGCGGGGTGGCTCTACCCGCCCCCGACGGGTCCTCGCGTGCGCTACAGGGCAGCGAGGCGGAGAGGCGAGGCGGAGAGGCGAGGGGGAGAGGCGAGGCGGAGAGGCGAGGGGGAGAGGCGAGGCGGGCACGCGACTCGCAAGTCAACGAGGCGCGACAACCGCGGCGGGGCAGGCGCGTGGCGTCGAGACACCCGCACGAGCAGCGCTGGCAGTCGCCGGCGCTCCTTGGGTGCTCGCGCAGCGTATTAGCGCAGTCGGGATGGTGGGCGTGCGCCGGGCCAATGCTGACCCACCTGATTGCTTAACTCCTCGCTCCTAATTACGCTGCCGCTTTTTTTCCTGCTGCGACTAGAGCGTTGCGTTTAGAGACTAGAATGCGTGAGTGAATGGCACCGCGCGCCTCGGCGTGCAGGTAACTGGGTGTATCTGCAGCGGATGCTTCTTGAAGGGCTTGTCTCCACCTCACGGCCCAAGGTTGATGTTCTCGAAACAACCCCCCAGGTGGTAACACAGCGGGAAATTGGACCGGCACATTCTGGTTCGCGTATTCTGCAGCTGTTCTAGAACGGCCTCACATTCGGTTTGCGTGGTCGGGGTTGACGAAAAAAGTGTGCGAGAAGAAAAAACTTCGTTTCGTTGGGCAAGTGATAAGGGCGGGTCTATTCATTTCGTTTACCATTAACTTTTAGGGGTTCATTCCGGCGCGCAATGTGGTTGGCTTGCCAAACCACCTCAAACGAACCCTGAAGGAAACATTGTGACCACCCGTACCGAACCCGTCCTCGCTAAACTGGCGTCCGACTTCGTGACGCTGGACGCGCCCTTCCTCAGTAAGGGTGTGAGCACTGGATGCCGACTTGCACTGTCAGGTTTATAACTTTTCAAACCGCAACCTGGGTTGCGCATTCTCGGGAGGCGCGTGTTGAGTTTCACGTCCAGTCCCACGCATTCCGCCAGGTAGTCCGCGCTCCGCACCGCTGCCGTGCGCGCCTCCACAAGGGCTCAAGCGTCACGCTACCTCACCTCAAACCCATGTTCTTCCGCCTCTCCACGCCGCTCCGCCTCTCCACGTCCCTCCGCCTATACGCGCCCTTCCGCCTCGCCGCGCCGGTCGCCCACATGATCCTCCGCGCGCCCCTCCATCGCTCCCGCAGCGCTCTCATCCCGTCTCTCTATCCCTCGTCGCCCGCCGCATCGCACGGCCCCGTCGCGCGCTCTTCGCAGCGGAGCCTCGCGACCACTGCGACGGGCCACTCCGCTGCGGCGAGCAGCAGACGTCGCGCGGCCGCGTGCGCCTTGCGGACGGCGCGTGCCCCCGCCGCCCCCTGTCCCCTCTACTATTGCGGCCTTGCGCCGCTCCCTGCCCCCGACGCGACCGCGTCCCTTGCGCCTCTTGCGCTCTCTCCACGCCGCGTCGCACGGACGCTCTCAGCGGCGGGGACAGACGGCGAGGGGGTCGTGAGGGGAGATGGCGGGGCGCGGGGAGGCAGTGCGGCGATGCTCGCTTCGGGAGCATGGGGGGAATCGCAAAAGGGGCAACGGGGTTTCGGCGGAGGCGCACTCCCGCGCGCGACCACGGCGGAGGGCGCCGTGCTGCGCGGGGAGGAGGCGGGCGGGGCCAGCGGGATGGGGACCGTGAGGGGCATGGGCGCGCCTGGCGCAACGGGCGCGAGGGGAGGGGCGGATGAAGCAGCAAGGCAGGGGGGCGTGGCGCAGGCGAGGTGGGGCGGCGTGGAGGAGGCGGCGGCGGGGGGGGGCCGCGCGGTGGTGCTGTGGGATTTGGACAACGTGCAGCCGGAGCGCATGGAGCCGTTCGACGCCGCCACGCGCCTCACCGACCTGGCGGCCAGCTTTGGGTCGCCCGTGGACGTGCTGGCGTACGCCAACCGCCACGCCTTCGACCACGTCCCCGCCTGGGTGCGCGACCAGCGCCGCGAGCGCCGCGACGCGGAGCGCATGGCGGCGCGCGGAGAGGCGGAGGAGCAGACGGTGCGGTGCGAGCTATGCGGGCGGCGGTGCAGCGGGGCGGCGGCACTGAGGAAGCACTTTGTGTCGCTGCACCAGAGGGAGCATGAGAAGCGCATGCAGCATCTCAACCACGCCTCCCCCAAGTGAGGGTTCCCCCGCCCGCCCTGCTCTTGCCCGCTCCAACGGCCCACCCCCCTTGCTCACACTTCCTTCCTCGTATGTCGTCTCCCTCGTTATTGCCTCGCCCTCTCTGTCCCGTTTTGTTGCACTCCTGTCCCCCATCTCCCGCACCCATGTCTCACGTCCGTGCGGATGCCCCCTTCCCCGTCGCCCACGCGCCGTGCGTGCAGGCGGAAGCGGCGGCTGAGGGAGGTGTATCGGGGCAAGCAGCAGCGGTACCAGCAGGCCGTGAGGGGCGTGCTGCTGCCCCGCCGCGGCTACGGCCTCATGCCCGAGCTGCGCCGCGCTGGGGTGGTCGTGCGCCTCGTCAGCCAGCAGTCACAGGTGGGTGGTGATTGCATCTTGTGCCTTCTCTTTCTCCTACTCACGTGCACCCGCCCTTCAACCCCCGCATCGAAACCCCCCTCCCTCTGCCACCCCCCACCCCTCCCCCAGGCGGCGGACGAGGCGTTGAAGAGGGACTTGGCGGCGGCGGTGCGCAGCGGGCAGGTGGGCGCCGTGCTGCTCGTCTCCGACGACCGCGGCTACTCGCGCGCGCTGGGCGCCGCCGCTGCTGCCGGCCTCACCACCGTCGCTGTCGGCATCAACGGGTCGCTGCAGGTGCGGGAGGGGGTGGGGGAGGGGGTGCGGGCAGGGGAGGCTATTATGCGCGGCACAGCAGGCACGCACCGTAACTGCTCTCACTAGAAACGATTGTGTGTTTGTGCCTTGTGCTGGGCTGCGCCTCCTGCGCCCCCACTGCAGCACCAACTGGTAACCACGTACTGTGTGCTGCTCACCACCTTCTCCACCCCTGCCTGCCTAACTCCACCACTGCTCACCTCCCCACATGCCTCGTGGCCTGCACACCCACTGCCTCCATCCCAGTACCCACTGTCGCCTGCTGCACCACCCCACACTACTGCTCACTCTGCCTGCTTCCCTGCAGCTTCTGCTTAAAACCTAAACCCTGTGGCTTCACCTCTCCTTGCGGCCCCTTCCGCTATTCCAAAAACCCCCATGCGCCATGCCCCCAGCCGGCGGTGCACCGGTGGTTCTGGTGGGGCGATGTGCTCTCCGGCCGGGCCGTGGCGCTCGCCCGGGGAGAGGCCGAGGGGATGGCGGGCTGGGGGGGAGGGGACGGGCGGGACGAGGAGGAGGGGGGGCGCAGGATGGAAGGGCATGCGTGGGGCGATGATGAGGGGGGAGCGGCGGTACGGGAGAGGGGAGAAGGAGGGAGTGGGGTTGGCAGTGGGGCGAGGGGAGCGCTGCTTGAAGTGGAGGATGTGGGGCGCCGGGGGGTGGCGATGGAGGGGCAGGAGGATAGGTGGACGCATGGTGATGTGCATGGGGGGCAGGGCGAGGGGAGGTACGGGGTGAGAGGGGCGGCAGGTGGTGTGGAGGATGAGGGAGGGGAGTGGGACGATGGGGAGGAGTGGATGGAGGAGGAGTGGGATGAGGATGAGTGGGAGAGCGAAGAGGAGGAGGATGACAGAGATGATAGTGATGAGGTGAGTTGGTGTTGGGAAGAAGGTGAAGTAGTGTGAAGTACAATCGTGTGTTCCACATGTGGGCATGTTCTTTCTGCTAGGTGCGTTCGTCTCAGTGGTGTGGCACTGCTGAGAGCGATGGAGAGCTGCTGCTTGTACTACGTGACACTTGCATTCACTCACTGCCCGTTGCTGCTTCCCCAATCGCCAGCTCATGCACCACGCTGCCTCGAGCAGTGTGCACATGCATCGTGCAATCGAATTCCCCTTGTTCTGCGTGTGCTGCATGGGTTGGCAGGGCTTTTCTCATCGGGTGTTTGGAGGCGCTGGCAAGGTGGCACGGCCACACGCTGCCCCGTGACACCACCACTATCCCACTGCAAGGCACTGGCGGGCGCTGTGAGGCCATTGCAGGAGGCATGCATGCAGGCGGTGTAGGCGGATTGTTGGTGAAGGGACTTATAATCTCAAGCTATAAAGACGTAATTCCAACTTAAAACCTCTCCTGGGGCTGGGGGTCACCTCCAAGGGTCCCTGGGTGCTTGGTACTCTCGGTTTATATATTTGGATACGGTATATTATAGGCTAGGTTGGTTTACTCTTTAGTAGGTACAGTTTCGGTACTTATGAACCATGTATGCCTTCACATTGATCATTTTTCATTTGTGACATGGTATTAGAAGTAGGTTAGGTCTCGCTTCCGCTCCACCTACCCTAGCCCACCCCTAGCTCGTAGCCCACCGCTTAGCGCGCCCTTTAGCGCTGCCCCTTAACGCGCCTCATCGTCCCGCGGCCCTGCTAGCCATGTCGCCCCAGCGCCAGCGACAGCGCCAGCGCCGCCCACGCTGCGCGCGCCGCCTACGCAGCCTGCAGCACCGCCAGCCCACCTCCTGCCCGCGCCAGCAGTGCACTGACTGCTCGCCGCCAGCGCACTGCCTGCAAGCCTGCACAGCCCGCACACCATCTGCCAGCCCTGTCGCCCTGCCGCCTGTTGGCGGGAGAACGGTGGTGGGGCAGTTTTGCCTCCAACCCCCCGAACTGTTAGAGTACGAATAGTGGAATGGTGTGAACTAGCACGCATGAGATACAAGTAGGCAACCCTAACGTGTTTTACCCTATACAATGTACTGTTGGAAACATATAATTCACGCTTCTGATGTGTCAAGCACTATAACAAGAACGAAACAGATCCACAGCGAAGCAACACCGAGTCAACCAAGCTACAGCGAAGCGGTTGACAAAGGCGACAACAGCAGGAGGTTGAAGCGAAGGTCAAAGGTCAGCAACCTTTGACTTGACAAAGCAGCACGACAGCAAGGACAAATAACTAACTCGTTATGGAGCAGTTACCCGAGTCGTCGATGTATCGAACCGCATTAGCTGTTACAATTACAGTTGGTAAAACCTTTCATATTCCCTGTAATCATATAAAAGCCCTGTATCTCTATGCTATAATCAACTTATCTTGTCCTAACACACCAGTACAAGGTGGTTCAATCAGTCTCACTAAGACGCTTCCGCTAATACATTATCAGCCAGAGCCTTAGTCATTGAAACGATCCTAAGGGCTTTCTCAGCCCAACATGTACCTCACTGTAGCCTAACAATCTAACACAATAACAATTATAGTTTGACACACACCCACAGGTTAAGTGAGGGCCATCAACAACGAGCAAGGGAGACAAATGGTCACAAGACCAGTCAACAACAACAACAAGGCAAGAGATGCAACTCAGGGTGGTACGACTAGCCAGCATATGAGACAAACGGCCACAAGGCCAGTTTAAGAGTATATATATATATATATATAAATAACAAAACAAGTAGAGCAAGAAACAAGAGGCAAGTCTTCAACAAACGAGGGCATGTCTTAACAAGGCCAAGCCGCAAACAGAACATGTGGTGGTCACCAGGCAGGAGGGCCTTGGTGAAGATGTCTGCAGTGTTGGCCACTAAGGCCACAAATACCAAGCATGCCTAACTGCGACGCTGCAGCTCTCGGAGTAGGACGTACCGCAAATCAATGTGTTTCACTAAACTCTCCAGTCGAGGCTCTCGACACAGAAGGATCATGGCCTTGTTGTCAGTGAACAAGGTCGGTGCAGAGCTAGGTTGCTCACCTAGGTTAGTGAGCAAGAAAGTAAGCAAGCGGAGCTCCTGAACAGCCATGGCACCGGCGTAGAGCTCGGCCTCAGCAACGGACGAAGCCACAGACCACTACCGAGTAGACCTCCATAACACAGCTCCAGAGCCCAAGCTGAAACAGTACCCTTGAGTCGACCTGCTGGTCTCCTCATCGTCCGCCCAGGACGAGTCGCAGTGTCCAGTATGG